TTGTTTCCTTTGATCCTCACAGCAGTCCTCCCTGTAGAACAGATGTAAAATATGATTCTCAAATAGGTTAGTGATCTTACTCAAGGTCACAAATAATAAATGGAAGAACTTGTCAGAACTCTGGGTCTTTTATCTACAAATCCAGTGTTTTCTTTTGTCTGTTGTAACCCTCACATACACAGAAAAAAAAAAAAGCAATTTAAAGGAAACTAACTGTGTAGAAAGAAGACTTTGCGGGCTGGAATCATCTCTAATAAGAATTGGCGATAAGAGATGGGGGAGTCTAGAGTTTGTGAGGACAGGTCTGCACAGTAGTGACTGTAGTTGAGTTTTTCTGGAAGGCAGAAATGTTTCTTTGGAAAGGTGAGATAGGAAGCCAGTAATTGGGTGGGATTAGTGGGTTGGTTTTCTGAGATCATCCTTGGCTTTATGTAGTATGTATACAACCTTGGCTCTTCTCCAATTTCTGAAAAGCAGTGATGATTTTTTTGTGGATTGCATAACAGATTTTTGTCAGCAACTCTGCTACTACGTATTTTAACTTTATTGGAATTGACAGAGAAAGCCTAAGATCTTACAATTTACAGTACCTCAAGTGCAGTTGAGGATGTCTTTTCACACTGGCTTGACCGGCAGTCTATCTTCTGTTTTGGCGTGTTTGCTTTTCTGTCAAATATATTCTCCCAACATCTTTAGAAAAACAAACAAACAAACTATGTGTGCAGAACAATTGAGAATCAACAATTGTGCAGAATCTTCGAAGTAATGGTACACTTGTGGTGGATACTCCTGTATTTCCATGTAGTGCTAGAATAAGATTTTTTCTTCCCAGTTCAAATGAAGTCCGTAGTGTTGACTAAGGACTAAGTTATGATTGGATGGGCTCAGAGAAATGATTGGTTCACACTAATCAATCGGAGTTGATAGGTGAAGTGTAAGGAGTCACAGCCCAGGGAGAATGTGACTGGGTGAAGTTAACCTCTGAGGATCCTTCCCACCTGGTAGGTCATGCCCACCAGGGAGGAGCTTGAGTCAGTCTTGTGTATTCCCAAGACATTAGGAAGGGAAATGTCAAAAAGATTTCTATCCCAGATAAATTGTACCCCAAGGCAGTAAGAGGGCCAGCAAGGTAGTATTGCTTGCCAGTTGGGAGACACTGTTGTGAAATGGTGGAGAATGGAAAGTTGTCAGGGAGCTAGAAGGAGGTTAATGTTCTCATTTTCTTTGAGAAAGGATAGAAAGTGAAGTCCGGGCATTCTTGACCACTGATCTTGGTGTTGACCTTGACAAAGAATCATAGAATGCATGATTCAAGTGATAAAGTGAAATGTTTTCAAAAGGAAGGAATGATCATCAGCCAGGGTTCAGTAAGGACAAATCATGCCAGAC